ATACCCATAGAAGTGAAGGCTTCTTGACTCTCCAGGCACACATCACAGGCGGGCGCGGTGGCAGACTGTATTCCGAGGATCAAAAATGAAATATAGCCTTTAATTCTTCATTTATAGTACGAATATATTTCACAGGCATGAATACTTGGATTACATTTTGCAATAAGGAACCACTATCTCCAGCTCTTCCACAAAAGCACCTTCCTTCAAAGAGAAACCAGTGGCTCATATGTTGTAGCTAAAATAAGCCAGAAATAGTGATTCCTTATTGCAAAATGTGGTCCACTTGATCTTAATATCATGCTCAGCACATCGCAAAATCAAAACTTAATTACAAAAGATAATCATATCCTTCGCATGTGTGCAATTATTTTCGTCTGAGACGACGACGGTGTAAATCCCCAACCACGTATCTTGTTTGCGGTGTCTCGAAATATTCGCTCCTGTTTGATTTTTTCAAAGATAAATCATAACTAAAAAGTCGTGCCTTGAAGTTTTCGCAGACAATTCTTCGCAAAGAGAAGGAAAATCGCGGCAGTTTTTAAGAGTTGCCGTGGAGTAGTTTCCCATTTCAAAAACGAAGTATGACAGGAAATGCATACCGAAAAACGTGGTTGCGCGCTTACACCATCGCTGTGTAGTGTAAACGAAGAATTGAAGATGCGAAGTCATTTTGAATCCTCGATTCCTCGCAGAACAGCCCACCACCGTGCCACGCCGCGAGGCGGATGATGTGATGAGTGCTTGGAAAATTCAAAACGCCTTCATTTCATTGCTCATGCAACACTGACATCCGTGGAGCCCGAATAGTTGCATCCAGGCGGTTATAACGAAATTTGTTTTATTTTCGTCGCGTGCTAAACTATGTACCCTGGTAAAAATTGGCAGTAGAATCTGTGTTCCAAAATACCATAGACCTACACCTACAGCCGGCTGTAAGATTTCCAATAGCTTCTATAGCCGGCTACACAATTTCTTATAGCCTTTTATAGCCGATGGCGATTAAGCAACAGCCAGGCGATAAAGTGTATGCTAAACGTTACAAATTGCGATTTTTACTAGTTACGGATGCTAGGACTTAGTGAGTTTTTGGACTATTGCTCTCTTTTTGGGCCGTATTATCTTGATTTATTTTGAGAGGAAAGCTCCGTACTTTTGATGGATGCCTGCCATTCCTAATATATTAGAGCGCCTTCAGTTTCGTATGATACTGTGCAATACCTCTGATGTGAAATAGTTGCTTCAAGCGCCGTGGCACGCTGCGGCGCGGCAGGCGGGCAGCTAGCGCGAAACGCGCTTTGGCGCCTAAAAACCTAACAGGGATACTTCACGCGTTGCGCAATGCGTGAGGTATCCCTGTTAGGTTTGTAGGCGCCAGTGCGTCGCCGCTCCGCTTTGTGTTAGGCTTTAATATTTAATCTGGCGGAGTCAGTGTTATTCAACTCATGAGTTTGATATGTTTGCACATCCTGTATAGATTATTCTCATTTTAATTGATGAAAAAAAAATAAATATAATGTGTGTTTTGTAAATATTAAGGTGGTTCCGTATCAAACTTAATGATTTCCAAAGCACACGAATTTCTAAATAATTTCTTTTAGCCTTTTATAATCGATGGCGAAAAAGCAACAGCCAGGCGATAAAGTGTAAATCCCGGCGATGGGAACTATAGCCCGGCTGCATACTTTTTCATCGCTTCGTAAAGCCCGACCGTATGATTTTCTCCGCATTCTACAGCCAGCTTTATGATTTTCTGTAGCCTTCTTTAGCCGGCCATAAGAATTCCTACGGTATTTTGAAACGCAGTTCTTTTCGCCAATTTTTACCAGGGTTGCTCATTTTTACTAGTTACTCGACTTACAACACATATGAAACCTCTGTGGAAGGAACTGTGGTATGAAACACGGCAGTGGATGGCGTCTTACACCGTATTTCATGAAGGGTAACATCCCTATGGGACGTGAAATTTAGGTGTTTGGACGTATCTCAGTATTTTCTTCTGATCTACAATCGGGCATCGTCAAAACACAATCCTGTGACTAGCGCAACTGGCCCAATTTTCTGCTTCAAGCCATAATGTTGTATCAAATAAAAGAAATACAAAAAGAGAGTTGGAAACACGGGACTCGAGATACTTTGTTTGAGAATTTGAGCGTGGATTTGTTACCATGCCCAAACTAAATTGACAACTTGAGGCCTTTCTTGAAGAACTCCCGAAATAGATAACTGCCGATTGTTAGTTCCATCGATTGTCCTGAGACATAGCGCAGCCGGGTTTGGGGCTATAAGCCGGCTGTAAGAATCCCTATGGTATTTTGAAACGCAGCTCTTATCGCCAATTTTTACCAGGGTAGGAGCGTTATGCTTGTTTCTTTTACACCATAATTTAATTCCAGCGTTGCCTAATGTGCCGATGAGGTAAAAAAGTACTGATTTGTAACGTGACATTGTAAATTTTCCGAAAAGTGCTTTGATTTTTACTTACTGACCGAAGATAGACAAACGCGACAGAGTCGTTTCCCGGACGAAGGCTCGTGTGACTCCATTCCAAGGTTGCAAAGTTGACTCAAACAATTTGATTTCATTCAAGAATGTACCTATGCAATTTTGCCTCAAACTTTTTCTGATTTTTGCACGATATCATAATAAAGAATCAGCGAAATTTTCATTTAAAAATGCTCAAGGGTCCATAGTCAAAATTGCAATTTGCGAAAGGAAATTTGGCAACATTTCAATGTGGTTACGTTCTAACGTGGGAAGACGACGATCTTAGGAAAAAAATTTCGAGCGCACATCAAAGTTAAAAAGAAGTCCAGTTAGGGGGCCGATTTTTAAAATTGATAGACAAGGCTACAGACAAAGAGGACAAAAAGGATATGGGGGGGGGGGGGTCCTAGTGCTGGAAGTGGGTGGTTGCAATGGACGAAGGAGGTGGGTAATCGATTAACGAAAGGCAACCTACGAGCTACAGTTAGTCCATCATTTTCTCCTTTAGTCTATAGAAACCACCCATTTCAACCAATAGGATAACTCCATACTCCCTATGTCTTCTTTGTCTATCGATTTGTCTATCAATTTGAATAATCAGCCGGCAGAAATGTACTAATTTTAGAGCTGAGTGGAGTCTCTAAAAGAGCCAGTTTTTGAGCGTTATTCCCTGTCTGGCTTTGACTGAGCCATGTCTCCAGTGGGCATTTTCGCGCAATAAAGTGGTCGCGAGGAATCGCGCGAATGAATCGGCAATTAATATTGTCCCATTCGAAATTAATTGCCACAGCCAGCGAACCTAGCAGAAGGCTCTTAAGAGTCTTGAACCTAGCTTATTAATGAAGTCGTTAGACCTCATCCCCAGAAGTATAATGTGCCCCCTTTTTGAGATATCTACCTCCTCATTTTCACACTAGAGCTTGTTAAAGATGAACAAAGACGGCTGGTCGGGAAGTAGTCTCGAGTTGCTCACTCTCGACAATTAATTCAGCACAAGCTCTATTTAATTGATTAATGTCGTTTCCACCATTTATTTCCACGCACAATGAATTAGAGCTGTGTTGGCTATGAAAACTTTACTCTGAATCATATCCATCCCGGCATTATCTTGGGAATTACGCCCTACGCATCTTCACATTCATTTCGCTTGCGAACTTTTTTCGCATTCACATGGCAAGCACCCGCAAAAACCACGACTCTTCATTCAGTTACCATTGGAGTTAGGTGGTTGCCTAACTTAGTACGTGTCTAAAACCACGTAATTTCTCAGTGGTTTTGTTGACCTCACGTGGTTCGTGTGTAGCAGAGTTTTAAACCTGTGTGGCTGTGTTGAGAAAAAAAACACCATATGAAAATTTGAATGCCCCTAAATTCCTCCCAATAAAATATTTATTTGCAGGGAAAGTTATACAAATTTTTCCTCGAAATTTTCGGTTACTTTAGATCAAAATACGAAGTAAATTCCTTGAAACTTGTAAAAAAAAAATAAAAAATAAAGGAAATTAAAATTATTAATCTAACCAAAATTTTAAAACCGAAGTATCAAAAATAATTAATTACCACTCATTTGAATGTAAATCCAAGAAAATGAGGAAAACCAGCGACAGGCGTTACAGTTAGGCGTGCATTTAACAGCTCCGCTGTAAAAAAGAAAAGAAAAGAAATTATGGAAAGTGAATTAATGGTACTTTATGTTTCTACTAAACTGGCCCAGAAATAATTTCAGTTCCAAATTGCGAAGCGTATAGTCCGGTTGGGGTTACGCGTTTCTGCAATTAGGGGAGCAGTGCACCTAACCAAGCCTCATTCTGCGAAAACCACGTATCTCAGTGGCGAGACGTGAATGGTCGATAATCCGTATTCTCCATTAAAAGATATGGTAATGTATCGATAATTCTGTCGTTCAATCCTTTTCCATAGGTTAAAATAGTAGATCAATCGATTTATCGCAAAGCACGCCACGCCGCTGAATCTTAACAGGATTTCCAATACTCTTACTTGCTGCTCGCCTAGCAGGGTAGAACACATGGATAAAGCCGTGTCCGAAAACAGCTTATCTGCACAGGGGTTTTGTCGGAGCTACACGTTCTTTGCTTGGTATAGAGCAATTCGCCTGACTGGGCATCATTCTCCATAAACTGCGTATTTGCAAAATCTGCACGAAATTTGGATTCTTGAGGTAGATTCCCTGTTTCCGCGGTCTTCGACTATATTTGTCCTAAAATAACCGAGAAAAAAGCCTGATGCGGGTGGCCTGATTATGAAACACCCTGTGCACACGCAGATCAATTCGCCTGTTCTGAAAACCGCGGATTTTCGTATGGATTTTGTCGAAGTTAAGCGATTCTTGCTTGCCTAGCAGGGCAGTACGCCTTACTGGGCCTCACCGTGCTGAAACGACGCATCTGAAGAAGATTTCCATCGGGATCACGCGGTTTCATCTTAGTGGAGCAGATCGGCAAGTGACGTCTGGTGAAGTGTCTCGCCGGAGTGGTCCACTCATGTCCCGGGCTCAGTGCCTCAGTGGGCCCGCTAACATCGTCCGACTCAGCCCCTCCGCGTGCTCTTCGCGTTTGTGTTCACTTTTTGTGCTGCTCCTTTGGACTTTTTTCCAGTTTCCTTGGACTTACACTCAGTTTTCTCAGACTTTTTCCCAGTAATCTCAGGCCGATTTCCCGGTCTACCCCAATAGATCTCATTGTCTCGAAGGCTAACTTTTGGACACCATGGTACGAACATCCAAGACAGACCTCATTGTGCAGCAGCGCAACAGGTGAGTGATCTCTCCTCCCGATCTTCCCCGACAACAATACACAACACACAAACAAAATAAAATATACACATAAAAAATCGATTTTTGTTCGTTTTTTAGTAGGAAAATATGCGTGGTTTTTTCCCTCTCCAACTCCTTTATTTTATGAATTAAATAAGTGAGTGAAGTTACTTTGAAGTACCTGCCATAAATGGATACAATTCAGGTAACAATGGTTGCCTGGGATTGGTTGTAGGTACGGAGGGGGGACGGGACTAAAGCGCAAGGATTAACCCTCGTGGGCTACTTGAAATAGTAAAAAAAAATAGTGTACTTCCTTCGGAAAATACACTAATAAATAAATTCATGCTTTATTTCTCACCCACATTGTGTGTAAATATAGCGCGAAAGTTCAATTTTGGTCTTTTTTGGTCTGGGAAATATGAACAATTCACCCCCCCCCTCCCCCTTACTCTTCATCCCGTTAAAATTTTGAGTGGAGTTTTTTTGAAGTACCTGCCATAAATGGACTCAGCTCATTAGGAAAACATGATTATAGTAAAGTTTTAGTGTGCCAGCAGTGGTTACAAGTGCCAACTATAGATAATTAGATCTGTGAAAGTTATAACTACGAGGACATTGATAAGCTCCGTTAATAGTTGGTGTTCCTGATACGGCATTTCATTGCAGACACATGTAAGTGACACATGTAATCACATGATGGAGAATCGCGTTTCGTATTGTACGTTACTTACCGAGAGAAAAAAAAAATCAATGCTTGATTAACCTAAAATTGATACATTTTCTTATTCATCATCCATTCATTTTCCATTCATTTTATTAAAATATCGCCTTTAAGTGTCATCGTAAAATGACGTCAATGGGTTCATGCACTTGACAACTAACCATTGCCAAAAAGTTAAAAGACGAGACGTTACAAATCAATGGGCCCGTTTCTCTCGAAATGGTCTCATAAATTTAAAATCGCCCTGGAAAGCCAGAGTTTTAGATTTCCTGGCGTGCGGAGCAGTCAATAATTTCACGTAGAACTTTATGGATACATTGTAAAAATGTTAAACTGTATGAGGACTTTGGAAGTTGTCAAGTACCTGCATTCTAACATATTCACATGGTGCCTACTTGCACATGTTCCCTTTCCATGTTTCATTGCCCTCTCTCATGATCAAGATGAGTATTTTATCGGTTCTCTTTATATTCTTTGTAAAAAAAAGTCATAGGGAAATTCACCGGTACACACATGTATGATTATCACAGAGAAAAGAAAAATTGATTTTGGCTGTCTGGAAATGTTGAAATTGCTAAAGCAGGTTTAGTCTTCAAGGTCCTCTAATAATAATATTGACGACGAAGGTAATAAAATGCGTGAATCCTATTGCAGGGTTGCAAATCGCTGCTTTTGTTTTATTTTATTGAAGAGAAAAGAAACCAACAGTTCTCTTTTGAATTTTCGATGAATTTTGTGTTCTCCCGCCATTAAACATTTTTACAAAAGATTTCAAAGAATTATGAAAATTCTCCTTCAAAGAATTATTTGAAAATGGTGAAACTTTACAATATCGCTATCTACTTTGACTAATTGAGTGAAGTGGGCGTGGGTAGGTGTAGGCATATTTAGAATACATTAAAACTGGCCGTTCGCTGAAAGTATAAAAACCAACCCGGTTATTGAAAACTGACATTCATGCGGCTGGAAAACGGGAAATTTCAGGGTTGAAATGCTTAAAAATTAATGTATCATGAAATACATAAAATAGTTCATTTGGCGCTTCCACCTACTAAAAGAGAAAATTAATACTTGTCCCCCAGTGTAGGAAAAAGTACAGAGACAAATTTGCTTTTCCGGTTTTTTCTTTTTTTTAAATCATTTATTCGTGCACATTTTACTCCGTAAAATTTCGTTAGGTAAAGAATGATATCATATCGAAGCTTATGTCGCACTCAACTCACAATTATTTCACTAACATGCCGGCGATCCACTAAAATGAGTGTTTTTCCACGAGTTCCTCAAATGATGAGTATGCGAGCTACGTTGTATGTGTTTACAACAAGGTCCTGATCCAGTTTTACGTGAGCTATCGGAGCATTTATTCGTGCCGGCTTAAAGGAATTATAATTTCATGGTCACTTGCAGCGATCCTCCTATACCCATGGAATGCAACACGAGGAAAATCTGCAGACTACACGACCAATGTAGCTCGAGAGACGCTTGTTAGTACACACCCAGATGTTGAGGTTATTGTTTCGTTTTGTGATGCTAACGCTGAAAACTAATGCTGCGAAAAATAAAATACGAGATATCCTTTGCAATATATGAAAAAATTTCCGATTAATTTTTTCTTCTTTTTTTTCTTGAAAGAGAACTAAGTGAAGTATCTCACTGAAATTTTTTGTAAGTAGGTATATTGGTATGAATGAAAAAGTTCACGAAAAATTTCAAGAAAATCTCTAGTGTTCTGTCAAGAAAAATAAAATATGATCAAAAGTTTGCATTCATCAAAATGTGCATGAAATATACCTTCAAGAATATCCAAAATATAAAATTTGATTTACTAGGCGATAACTAATATATAGGTATCAAAAAACAGTCAACCTATCAAAATGTCTTGTTAAGTATGCTTTTCGTGGTATTATGTACTACAATAAATAGATACCTGACAAATACGAGTCAAATGTTTCTCTTCCATCTCTTTCGTACGAAAACAACGGCTCAGACCCAGCAAGAGAATGGTCCTTGTTTATCCTCGCCGATTATGCATTTGGGTTCGACAGCCTCGCTTTTTACCACCACCTGAATGAGAATGGCTTATGCAATACTTGGCAGCCCAGAGGTTGGCACAGGCAGTACAACTGCCCATTACACTGTTGCATTACTCGTATTCAACACCTTCGATGAACATTCCATGACTCCAAGTCCAATAAAATCCTTCCATAAATGAGATTTAGTGTGTCGGAGGCGCTTTGCCATGATAATTTAATGTTTCTCTAATTTTTTTCGCGGAGTCCTTGGGCCCCCCGAAAGTAATAACGACGCTGGATGAGAGATGTTTTGTTGCTCACTTTTGACGGTTAGCTATCGGCGAACAGTGTTTCACTTTTGCCGTGGTAAAGTTAGCTGAAAAAAGTTTTCTATAATGGAGCGTTCAAAGTATGTTTCCTGACAAATGAGTGAACACACTTACAATGCATGCAAAATTCAAGGCGCTGCAAGCGGATAAAACCATACATATCGTCGCTTCTCTGACGTAAGGTCTATTTCCACCAAATGAAACATTTATGAATTATGATCCCCAAAAAGCATGGAGTTTTATTTACAACAAGGCTTACGTGAAAATAGAGATACGCCCTTACGTCAGAGAAGCGTTCCATTACACGTCCGATTTGAGTGTTCATCACTTACGGGCCCCTAAAAACACTATTTGGACTGCATTTTGCAACCAGGAACTAAACAATTTTTGGCTTACAATCAATTTAGAAACAATTTATTTACCCTCAGTTTCTCCCTGCCTACAGTTGTTTTTACGAATGAGCCAGGAAATGTAGTTCTAATTACAAAAAGTAGTCATTTTCATCAACAAAAAAAAAAAACAAGCAGTGAACTCCAACACAATGTGTTGATAAGGCGCGTCATTAACTCACACATATCAACCCCTTTAGTTTTCATTTACAGAGATTTCAAAATAGGCAAGTAGCATAAAAAGAGAATTCACGATCCAACACTGCGAGGTCAAAGACGCACCTTGACGAGACCGTGTATTGTGAAAGTAGAAAGCTATTCGATCGAANGACTCCCTGACGTGAAAATTAGATTCTACGTGTAAAAATACTTACACATGGATATGCTGAACAGAAACCATGTGTGGACACAGTTAGGATACATAGCCCCAGAATACTTTTAAGCGCCTTTACTTTCCAGAATCTTGACGGAATTTTTTTTTGGCTTAAACGACTCAAGAGACACTGTAGTTAAAAAATATAAAGAATTTTCGATTTTGACACAAAAAAAAAAATTTTCGTTCAGGCACACCATGTATTGTATGGTGTATTGCACTGGTATATTCAATCCTTGCCTTCAGATCAAAATTCTTACAAGGAAGCCCCTTGCAAGAGGCGAATTTTTTGTAATTTCTCCCAATTTTTTCTTCGTTATATAGTTGAATTGCTTGCCAAATTCTGAGGTCAATTATATTTAATTCTAATTTATACATTTCTTTTTTCCCCTTCATTTTATTTTTTGTTTGGAGAAGTTTCGTTGATTTCTTCGGATTTCGAATACTGTAACTTCTCTTCTATTCGGCCGATTTTTATGAATGAGACCTCTTTCAATTCGTCTTTGAACGGAGAGTAAGGAAAAAATTGTTAAGTACTCGCGAAACAATTTTTTCGAAAATTTGATGGATCCCAGCGTGACGGTGAAATGGGTAATCGAATGAAAGTAATTAGGTCTGACTGTGACGAGGACCGCGAGGGTCGCCTTTTGTTCTTCAGCTGGGAAGCGACGCGGCGAACCGAGCCAGGACCGGGACACTACCTGGGTTTTGTGCCTGCCCGTGCACTGTTTTGGCCTGATAGGGGAGTGAATTTCTGAATGGGCCACGGTTAGCACATGGTCTAATGAGTCTCGAGGCTCATCACAGATTGCACTTACCACTATCCTGGTGGCCCCGGCTATCAGAGCAAGGAGTACCAAATTTTGAAAATCATAACACCGTTGTGGAGATCCGTCAAAGCAACGTTTTAAACAAAACGAAGAAGTGAAATTTTCGTTCAACGAGTGCCGACCTGATCAGCCATCCTCGAATCAGTTCGCTTGCTTCTGCTTATATATGCACATTTTAAATCAGCGCGTCGCATTCTATGGTTTTTTCAAAAAAAACCAAGTAACGCAGACTCTTGGTATTCATTACACATAAACTAGAGACCCCCAGAATGAGAAACAACTTTAAATCATAATTATTGTCGGATAAATAAACTTTTTACACGCTTTGGAAAATCTCAGAAGTTCGCGGTAGTCACTTTTCGGTAAGGAACCAAGGGACTCGGTTATTGTATCGAGTGGGGGGTCGAAACGATCGCAAAGGCGGTATACTACGTATACGCGCCAAAAGAACTTAAAATACGTACAGCTGAAAAAAAATATTTTCTCATTTTCCTATCCATAAAAATTACAGAATCATATTATCTCACCAGAAAAAAGAGAGAAAAAAACGGGAATAAAATCACTGGACGGACATAGATTGCCGCCAGACGGACATCGAAGATTATGTCTCGCCTTACGATTCTTTGAGTAGATAATTATTGCAGCACGTGGGATACTTTTTGGCCTACCTCGCGAGATGAAGGCGAACTAGGAAAAAATTAATGAGTGTAGCGCGGAACTTTCACGAGTCCACATCCCTCAATAATTAAAGCCAATATCTTCAACCTATTTTCCCCACAAATACACGCACAAGTTATTCTTGACCAAAGATGTCTGCGTAAATTTCTATTGAGAGAAATTACTTTCAACATTAGTTTACGAGTAAAATTTAAATTTCTGAGAATATTTAAGTTGATGTGACCAGAATCAGTCCAAGCGCATTTGGACTTCATTTTGCGTAAAAGCAAGGGGGGGGGGGGGGGGGGGGGGGTTAAACATACTTTGTTTTTCAACTGAGCCAGAGATTGTAGTTCCTGTTTGCAAAATATAGTCCATTTGACATCGCCTACCTTTCTCCCGTTTTATATTGTTTACAGGGGAACTAAGCATCAAAACACCTCAATGTTCTCCTCAAATTTTCCTGTTTTTAAAGAGCATAATCCAAAATTCCGAGGCACCCAATGTTGTTTCATTTTTTTTTTTTTTTTTTTTTTTTTTTTTTTTTTTTTTTTTTCAATTTAAGTAAGCTCAATCCGGTCAATCCAGTCAATTTCATAGATATAATTCTGGTATTCTGTATAATTCTGTATGGTATTCGGCATAATTGTAGATTCTGGTGTTACAAATACCGACAGTGCGCACTATCACATCAACGACTCTCTCAAAGTTTGGTTGAAAAATTCTACGCTAGAATATTTGGATGGTACACTTCTGTCGATGCAGTATTCCCAAAGCAAATATTCATAACGTAGATCCTGAACTATTTCTGGATTAATGACTAAGATCAATGTATTTTATGATCATCAAAGTGCTTTACTCTTCTCTCTTAGTAATAAAGAATTCAACATTTTAAGTCCGCGTGACAACCCCATTTAAGGTGTAGAAATATGAAGACTCTTCTTTTAGTTCTTATTTTTTTTAATTCAATTTATTTTCTTCACAAAGTTTATACGTGATGTTTTGCATCGGCAAGTAGCAGTGCGCAATTCCCTTTAATCCCACACTCGAAAGAGATAGAGTCATTGGACTTTAAGAGTTGAAGCAATATAATGTCGATAGATCGAAGCAATATTAAATCGGATTGATTTATTTCCTTTTTTTCTCACGTATTTCAACAATAACGAGTAAGGAATTACGAAAATACAAAAAAAAATAGAGAGCAAATACTAAGTCACAGCCTTGTGGCAGGTGGAGTCTCACTATTGCAACGTTTAAAATCATGTGTGCATGTTAAATGTTAAAATTGAAATTAAAACAAGGACTGAATAGAAAAAGGGGCTGGAAAATTGGAGAGAAAGAAATAAAAAAATAAAAAAAAAAGTATAACTCCTGAAAATGAGTTTCCCTTTCCTGACTGGCTAGATGGTACCTTTTTGGACCCCATCACATACGAAGCCATATGCTTATATTGGGGGGGGGGGCTGTGCTCCCTGGCCGTTAAGCGGCCCAACCCCCAGAGGACGCTTCGTAACTTCTAAGGCCCGCCTCACGGGCTTCCGTGTTAAATAGGAATTTTTGAGGGACTGTCTCCTGTCGACAGATTCCAAAATCATGAAAATCGACCCGGTTAATCTTTGAAACAAACTATGACAAAAATGGCAATTTACATAGTTTAATTGGGAGAAAGTACAATTTTATCACGTAATACACAAAAACCCGGAGCATATTTCAAAAATATGAATACAGCTAGCACCTATTGAAAGCCGTAATAATCATGAAAATCGGCCCGGCGGGTATAGAATGTTAAAACGAGTTATTACAAAAAATACAAATTCAAGACGTCAGCAAACCTATAGTAATGATAACTCTTGGAATTGTTTCGGGAATTCGTCGTGGATATTTCTGTCACATTGCAGCATAATGATAACGAGTCAGATTTAATTTGATTTTTTTGGTATTTCAGTAGTTATCTTCGCAAATTGGCAAAACTTTGTGTCGTCCAATTTAAGGCTTGTGAAACAATCGATGAATATCGAAACAGGCTGCCTCGCCCAGAATCGATTATTCACAATGGGATTAAATGAATTCAAAATAGTGTCACCAACCGTTCGGTATTGTGTCCCGCGCTGGAGAAAGTTACAATCACAGTCGATGGTTTACAACGATGATCGAGTGCTCAGCTTGTTAAACCTGTGTCCACCTCTCGATAGATAAAAAATAAGAGGAGCCTCATGTGACACATTTCAACAATTCATTTCTTACACGGGGAGCTCAGTGGAAAACCATTTATCTCGAGGCTCTCTTGAGGACTCAGCTTCCCAAAGATTATTTAAAATAAATAAAACTCGAAATCTTATCTCTGCAACGGCTTGAGTTCTTATCTTCGCATTGACATTTAAAAAATGCGGTGGGGGTGCAAACCTTCTTGACATAAGCGCATAACTACACTTCGCAATGAACCTGGTCGTTCGCGTAACTTAATGCTTCTTCGGGCTCATCTCCAAGTGTCGATACACCCTTTTGTCAGACGAGTGACGAATTGATGTAGCGAAATCGTTAAAATATTCGCAGTAATAGGACAGGGTCATAATCTTTCAGCATTTCAAAAAACGTGCATTATGCAGATATCAGTTTAAATGATATAATTATTGAGTGAAGCGGAATTAGTGTAAGTAAAGGAGAAAGTACATTTCATTGACGCATGCTCAAAACTGGAGAGGACTTGGAGTGGCCAAAACGCAAAATTGCGTAATATGAAGAAAAAATTATCTAATTTTATTTTTAATTGTTTTGCGATATGAAATAATTAGTCTGAGATGTCAATAAATACTTGAAAGAGAGCGTAATATATTCGCGATACGGAGAGAGGATTAACCGGACTTTATTTTGCATTTGGAACTACTATTTTTGGCTCATCCATAAAAGCACGTATCTGCCCAGGGAAACTAATGGCAAATAAGCTAATGTTGTAAAATGCTGTCTCATTGCAGTGAATTGCAAGGGCCAGGTCGTACTTTGGCAAAAAATGAGCTAGGAGTTTTTTAAGCTTAACTAACTGCAATTTTCTCCTGCCAAAAATACAAAATCGAGATCGAGCTAATATTTCGAATGTTATGACAGGCGTTAAACTTTTATTTCTCACATTTTAGTCTTGTGGCGAAGTATCGATTGATCTACTACTTAAACCAATAGAAAAGGATCTATAAAACGAAACCCGTACCAATCGTCTCTTTCACACAGCTTCAAATGGGGATATCACCGCTTCAAATCACTTTTCTTGGGCTTGATCTTAATGAGACTTCGTTGGTTTTTGTGAAACTCAATCAAATTGTACCTGCATTTCAAGAAAATGTGTAGGTATAATGAGAATTCTTGGGAGAGTGCTTGTATGATGTAATATTTTAGTGGACTACAGAATACAGTCTAAAAATAGAATACCTACATTTGATTGACAAGCGCCTAAATCTTGAGAGGGCTAGCTGAAGAAAAACGCAACTTGTGTAATGTGAAGAGAAAAAGTTACCTATTTATACAGTTTACATCAAGTATGAAGATAAAACTGCAAAAATTCAACCAGACTGCTTTGAGCACGAAATTATGACATGTTGTAGGGTTTTTGGCAGCCCTAATGGGCTTTGTCAAATCGTGTCCTATACTATATACTCCGTGGCTCCTATGCACAAAACATATGTGATGCTATTTAGGTAAGAGAACTCTCAGATTATATTAAAGCAATTCTTATGAGGCTAAAGTGTGAGCCTACATCAATATCTTCAATACGCATTTTTTACTAATTGGGCCTGAATCAAATCAAATCAGAAATCAAATCGATAAATCCAATATATCAAGCAAATTAGAGGACGAAGGTAAAAATTGGAGTTTAACAGACGCCAAAAATGTTGTATTAGAGCTGCTCTATGAGCCGTTGGAACTGGAGCTGTAGATTCATTTAGTCTATTATTTGTAGATCAAATTTTTCGGATTAATTCTGGACAACGCCATTACTTGTTCAACTTATGAGAATGTTCGCACTCAATTTTGAGTTCACATTAACGTCAACATTTTCTCAACTCCTGCATGCGGAAAATTCAATTTTCAAAATGTCAACTTGCGTTCACCGTTGAGTAATCACTTATCATGTTACCTCGTGTGTATCATCAATAAATGTGCGTGTTTGTGCGCCAGTTCAATTCTGAGCAATCTTTTTTTTTTTTTTTTCAGTTCAAAATGGAAAATTTTCAAGAGGAGACGATATCTGGTGTCGTTCCTTGCCTTCTTTGGGTTCATCAACATCTACGCCCTCAGAGTAAATCTGAGTGTGGCAATCGTAGCGATGACGACGGAACACATCAAGATCGAGAAGCTCGCAAACGGCACCACCATATCAAAAACGGTTCGTTATGGATCATTATAATTATATACACACTGCCAGGTAAAGCCAATGGGCTGATTAATAAAATTCATAGACAAAGCGATAGACAAAAATGGTATAGGGAGTATATGGAGCGATCCTTTTGGTTAGTTTGGATGGTTCTTATAGATTACTAGGGGGCCCTGCCCCCTGACCGCTACGCGGCCCAACCCCCGGGAGGGCGCCTCGCGCCCTCAGGCCCGCTTCGCGGGCCCTATACGCATATGTATAGGCAAAAATGTTCTTCCATTTTAATGCACCATTTTGTGTTCGAGCTGCATCGATTTCAAAATTTTTGACGTAACACTCAGATTTGTAAATGATGAGGAATAGCTGGATGTACATAATTTCACAGTCCACTTACTGGAGAAATTTCCATTTATTATGTTATTTTTAAATACTTAATTTTAAAAAAAAATCGGATTTAGACCGTTGAGAGTTAATAATATTTGGTCCGTCCCGACGCGACGCAGCGCCTGCCTTCTCACTTTGTATCTGCTGTAAAATTAATAGAAATTCAGCAATGAAGTAAATTGACCAATGCCACAAATCGAAGCCGGAATAATGCAGGAAAAATTGATTTAAACCTTATACCTTGGACCTTGGACCTTGAACCTTGAACCCTGAGCGATGCACCGTTCCTCAACTCTTCGAATGAGGAGCCCTTCACGAGCTTTTCCATTGTTTTATTGTTTATTCGAGTCACTCAGGTAGAATCCCACACCTTGACGTTTCTAGAGGAAACGACATATCTCTCACGCTATTAACATTGGACTTAAGTGACATGAGCTTTAAAAGCTCTACAACATTAAAAGTTCGGGGTTTCATAATTTTTTGCACATCTACATCTACTACAGATGACATACATGTAAAGATCATCCTCCTCGGTCTGGCAGTTCGTCAGAAATAGTGCTTCCAAGATTTTGCTTGTAGCTGTATAATATAGAGAAGGGAGAAAATGACTGATGAGGTTGGTTGCTGATTATGAACTGAGGGGGGATTTCACTACAAGCGGATAAACCCCTCGGGGATTCTCAAAGTTAAAAAAAAAAAAAAAAAAAAAAAAAAAAAAAAAAAAAAAAAAAAAAAAAAAAAAAAAAAAAANAAAAAAAAAAAAAAAAAAAAAAAAAAAAAAAAAATGCAACCCAAGAAATTATCTCGTGTATCACAAGGCGTCACAATCGATATAATGGGCCTGTTGCAAACTTTTGCTAGAGCAAAACTGAGAGTTGTTTCTTATAGATAATGCCTCAAAAATCACGATGAGCGCATCGGCAAACTCTGAAATGAACTCATAACTTCACAAACTGCGTAAGAAATTTGCGGTTTTTTGAGCTTCCCGCTTCAAAAACGATACTACGGCACAGGTGAACATTTTGTAAGAGGAGTCGTTCCATCGTCGGCAATAATCTTCATAGCCGACGCCAATCCGCCAAAACACGTTTGATGGGACGAGATAACACCTGAACTGGATTAGACCAGATAACAATCGGTGTGTTAACGTTCATATTTTCCACGCCCGAATTGATTGACCTTGAACTCTCCTTGAATTACGCGCGGAACTGCGTGCAAGCGTCGGCCATGATGAATATCGCCGACGACGGAGCGACTCCTCTAACAAAATGTTCACCTATGCCGTAGTATCGTTTTTGAAGCGGGAAGCTTAAAAAAACGCAAATTTCTTACGCAGATTGTGAAGTTATGAGTGCATTTCAGACTTTGCCGATGCGCTCATCGTGATTTTTGAGGCATTATCTATAAGAAACAACTCTTATTTTTGCTCTAGCAAAAGTTTGCAACAGGCCCATTTTTCTTTGCTTTTTTATTTAACAGGTTCAGGAGTTCAACTGGGACTCGAAGCTGAGAGGGCTGATTCTGAGCTCCTTCTTCTACGGTTACCTATGTACACAGATGCTGGGTGGGTGTCTGAGCCGGCGCTTCGGGGGCGCGCGGATCTACGGGGTTGGAGTGGCGGTTACCGCCCTCCTCACCCTCATCACGCCGCCCTTGACCAGACTCAACGTCAATTTCCTCATCGCCCTCAGGATTCTCGAAGGGGTCTTTGAGGTAATTTCAAGCTGCACCCTCCTAAATTGTTCAACATTGGCCATCATGGTTTAAATTCTAAATATCGAAGGGGGTAACCCGGGTTGGCCTTGTGGTCAGCGCGTCTGACTGTGGGTCAATACATTCGTGCTAAGGAAAGATGCCCTATGAACATTCGAGAGTTGCCAAATATCTTCCGATGAAAAGCTTACTTCTCAGGAAAGTTCCAAATATTAGTTCTTGAAATTTTCAGGAGCTTTAGGTGAAATTGCGAACAAAATTATTTGAAAAATTAGAAGGAAAATTTCCATAAGTTTACCAAGGAATTCGGATTTTATCGAAGGAATTTTGGCAAAGCCTAAAGGTTCATACGGCGTTTTTTCTCAGCACGGCAGAACACTGCCAGTAGAGGGGAAATGGCGACTTACGCACACCTGAGATATCGAAATGTAACCTAACCTAAGTTCAGTGTTGCCGTGTGACCTAACCCAAGTACAGCGTTGCCGTGTGACCTAACCCAAGTACAGCGTTGCCGTGTGACCTAACCTAACCTAACCTAACCTAACCAAACNATGTATCATAACAGAAAAACTCGTGTACCTTAAGACAATGTTTTTGCATAATTATTTTGCAAAATACTATCAAGAACTTAGCCTTAAAATTTGAGGTGCATGGGTAAAAGAGTTTTTACTTTATAAAGTGTTAAGTTCCAAAAAACGCGGGAGAATCTTGACGGATTTAGGGCGTTCTTGCTTAGCACGGTTATAAGACATTTCGTCAACGATTTTTTGTCCGCGCATCTGTTCTTTCCAGTAATTTAGGTCCACGCGTTTTTTCGGCGCGGGGGTTCTGGACCACGGCCAGTTGAGACCCAAAGTCAATTGGCCCACATGGAAATACAAACGACAATTGCTCACGACGTTTTTGGATGAAAATATATAATGTCTTGGAAGAATGAGGGTTTGCTTGTTTTTTTTGTTTTGTCTGTTTGGTCCAACGGAGAACAATATATAGTTGAGAGTTTTGGTAAAAATGGGGGAGCGTCAATTCCATGAGACAAAATTCACTAAAACTCTCTACACCTCTTTGGTGTAACAGGGCTTAATAATCTTTCAAGAAATTCCCACCTTCTTATACCTGAACCGGATAAACCTCTATATTTGCCTCAGCTGAAGGCTCTTAGATTTTTCCTGTGTACGATAAGTATCTTGATTTATTTTGCGAGGAAAAATCTATACTTTTAAAGGATGCCTGTCATTCTTAATACGTTCAATTTCGTGTAATAATGTGCAACACCTCTGTTGTGAAATAGTTGCTTCAGGCGCCGTCGCACGGCGGGCGGGCGGCCAGCGGGAAACGCGCATTGGCGCCTACAAACCTAAGTGGATACTTCAAGCATTGTGCAATGCGTGAAGTATCCACCTAGGTTTGTAGGCGGCAGTGAGCCTCTCGCGCCGGCAGCACGCCGGCGCCGCTCCGCTCTGTTAGGTTTTAATATTTATACTCGCATAGTCAGCGTTTTTTAACTCATGATTTTGAAATGTTTGCACACTCTGCATTGATTTTTCTCATTTAAATTGATGGGGAAGAAATATGTATCCATTTATCAAAAGAGAATAATAATATGATGCGTGTTTTTTAAATATTGGTGGTTCCGTGTCTTTAATGATTTCCAAAGCACTTTAATTTTTTCTTTTACATTTTGTGCTTTCATTGTGCTGCAGCGAGGTGTACGCGTAACGAAACGCTCAAAATTGGACGTATTTGACTCCAAAAGATCGAAGTACAAATGGGTTACATCAAAAACAAAACTTTAAATGCGTTTTTCTCAAACCGCGGTTTCCAGCTATTAGTCTAGGCGCCTGGTAAGTCTACCTGGAATTTTGGGTACACAGCGATTTTTTTGGCTCACTTCATGTTTTTTGGGTCGCTGAATCCGAATCTGAAGTTTCCTGCCGCATATCTAGTGAGCATTTTCCGCCATTTTATAAAAAAGACCTTTTTTTGCGGTCTTTTTGATATAGCGGCTACGCATGAGATAAAGTCCCGGATTTAGTTAATGTTTTGAATAGCTGACAAAATTTGGAAGAAAATTGTATATGAATATGCTAGGTCTGCTCAAAAATTGAGGAACCTCGGATCTCGGAACTTTGGAACGCTTCGGAACTTGGCTGGCCGCGGCGAGCCGGATCGCGCGTTGGCGGGTACGCCGCGAAAACGTGAATGGGCGCGATGTTCACGATGCTGTATCTTCCTCAATTTTTAAGCAAACCTAGCATATGTACACACCATTTTCTTCCAAATTATGTCAGCTATTCAAAACATTAGCTAAATTCGGGACTTTTCCTCATGCATAGCCGCTATATAAAAAAACCGCAAAAAAGGCCTTTTTAGGCCATTTTTTCAAAATGGCGGAAAATGCTCACCAGATACGCGGTAGGAAACTTCAGATTTGGATTCAGCGACCCAAAAAACATATTGTGAGCCAAAAAAATCGCTGTGTACCCAAAATTCTAGTTAGCCTCATTTTTAGCTACCAGGCGCCTGAACTATATAGGCTGTTCTTGGTGCGGTGTCCTCAATTGAAATAGCCTCCATACACACTGGGCTTGTCAATTTCCTTTGACATTTTTGCAGTGGTGAATCATAGCTGAAGTGCGCTCCAGCTAGAATTGTATTTAGCAAATGGGTGGTTTTTATACGAGGATTAAAAATAAACAAGTGGTACGGAACAAAACAAAAGAATATGAACTATATAATGGACCGTAGGTTGATTTAAATTTCTGACCGAACTGTTTTCTAACGCTTCCGTCAAATAAAACACAAATTTATTGAGTTGCATTAGCTCGTAAAATCAGTCATTCTATTGATTTTGTGCTCGAATTTCTTGCGAAACTACATACCTGATATCAAAACTTGGCTGTTTTGAAAACGCCTTCAAATGCGGCGTGATACCTCGCGCATTCCGGAGAGTTCAAATAGTTGTATCATTGCGCCTTAGAAATGCGACGGCAGATCACAATTGATATAGCCTCCATACACGCTGGGTTTGTCAATTTCTTTTGACATTTTTGCAGTGGTGAATGCATAGCTGAAGTGCGCTCCAGCTGGAAGTGTATTCAGCAAATGAGTATTTTTATAGGAGGATTGAAAACAAACAAATGGTAGGAAATAAAACATAAAAATAAGAACTTTGCAAAACGATAATCCAGGTATCGGAACTTGGCTCTTTTTAAAACGCCTTCAAATGCGGCGTGATACCTCACGCATTCGGGAGAGTTCAAATAGTTGTATCATTGAGCCGCAAGAATGTGACGGAAGATTACAATTGAGGACACCGCACCAAGAACAGCCTATAGGCGTATATGTCGTTATTACGCCCATCTGCTTTTCGGGTTCTCCGTACCCTGGACTATGCTGTGGTAGCGATAGAATATAGATAGGTAACGGCTCGAGGTAGAAAAACCTTTTTTTTCCGAGTTAAGTCAGGCCTCTGGATCGATGGGTGCAAGAACGACCTATAAACGGGCCTATAAGGTGCTAGTTACCCCTTCCTTTACGCACTATGGATATTCTTTCATTTTGCGTTAATCATGCTCGAATAAAATGATTTATACTTCACATTGCCACCAAAATGACTGTTGGGCGCAATAATGGCCTATAAACCGCTTTTTTAAATTAAATATATGAGAGTATAAACCCAAAAAGTACCGCAAAATTTACCCGGCATCCTTCAATAGAAGGGTTAGGTCACCCAAAAACACCAAAACAGGGTACCTGCATAGAAAAGTCTGCGCAGCACATCAAAAACAAAGCTTTAAATGCTTTTTTTCTCAAAACGCGGTTTCCAGTTATAGGCTGTTCTTAGTGCGGTGTCCTCAATTGGATTGCATTTTGCAAAAAGGAACCACTAGCATTGCAATGTTGCTAAGATTGTGCAACTTCTTTTGTCTTGGAGGAAAAACCCGATTATCCATTAATAGTTTCTATTTTACTCGCTAAAAACTAAATTTAAGACAAAAATTACCATCTAAATTTCATATTTTTTCACGAGTTCCGCAATTTTATTGCAAAAGATGAAGTTGCACAATAATTAGCATCATTGCAATGCTAGTGGTTCCTTTTTGCAAAATGCAATCCAATTGGTTCATGAATCATAGCTCTTTCTCAGTGTGATAAATCCGAGTCTTTCCCAGTTTTTATCGGTGCTAAACACCTAGATTAAAGGCTCCTCCTTATTTAATTTGTGAATCTTGATCGTCTTCTGCTCTGTGTCGTATCCAGGGAGTCACGTTTCCGTGCATTCATGCCGTCTGGTCCGAGTGGGCGCCGCCGATGGAGAGGACCCAACTCGCGTCCATCGCCTTCTCCGGCTGCTTCGTCGGCATGGTCGTCGCCTACCCCATCTGCGGCTTCTTTGCCGATGTCTTCGGCTGGGCAGCCGACTTCTACGTTACAGGTAACCATTTCATCCTACACCGCAACAACACACTCCAGCTCCATCCTTCGATCTCTATATCCGTAGCTATCATTCTACAAAGTTTTCGCTCCAGTGGGCTCATTGTTAAAATTGGCCGTATTTCTATCAAACAGAACTATGTGCAGGTGGAAAAGATGGGGTGTACTCGTTAGTGCTCGGGCCATAAAAATGAATGGGAAATATAGAGTGCCAGTGACGGAGCCGCCGCTGCGCTCTCTCCGCTTCGTCCTTAACTCATGAGCCCTGCGCACAAGGCTTTAGGCACATGCCGACGGCTCATGAGTCCCGAATTTAGTTGGCTCACTGTTCCGTTTGCTGAATTGGAGAAGCGGGATTTCACGTTCTGTCAAACAGAACTATGTGCACGGTGCATGAACCCTGGGCATGTATCTAGAGCCTTGTGGACAGGGCTCATGAGCTAACGAGGAAGTGCAAGGAGCGCGGCGGCGGCTCCGTCACTGGCGCTTTTTAATTCCCATTCATTCTTATAGCCCAAGCACTAACGAACAAACCCCATCTCTTCCACCTGCACATAGTTCTGTTTCATAGAGATACGTCCAATTGATGGATGCGAACACTGAAACAAAAATTACGGCCGATATTGACACACCGTCCGTTTCGGGCTCAGAGGCAGAAAGTTCCGGGTGCTGGAGCCGTAGCTTCAACTGCTCTGGGTGCTCCGACCGAAAATGTCGGCCTCTGAGCTCGAAACGCAGACGGTATGTCTCAATAGCTCGTAAGCACGGCTCCCACAGCCGGAGTTTTTTTCCAGTGAAGTCATTGAAAAAGAGGACAAGAGGAAAAGGGGGCGATCCTATTGGTGATAGCGGGTGGTTGCAATGAACAAAGGTGGAAAATGATAGACTATGTAATGGCAATCCACGAGAAACCCGATAAGTTGATCCAAAGTTTCTCCCCTCTCGTCTTTAACAACCACCCGTTTCAACCTATGGGATCCCTCCATTTTCCCGTTTTCTTCTTTGTTTATTAATATTTTAGTGATCAGCGCGCAAGTGACCGAAATTTTCAGTGATGGGATTCAAACCTCGGTACATTTAGTACAGTACCCGAAGTTATTGTTCACCAACCAAGAGCCGTAATCTTTGCCGAAAACTTTCGATTCGATTTCCATGCCCTGATTTTTGAAATTTATGTCAGCACGACAAGGCATCGAAAATTGATAAATTATATGGAACAGGGTCATGTCTGGTCTTACCTTGCCGACAAAAATAAAGTTGCAGAAATCAGAGAATTGCAGAGCATTTGGGGTTTCCACAAGGATCCAAATTTTTTATTGAAAAGCAACTTGAGAGCCTATCCCTCAAACACCCGAAAAATCTGCCTGGCCATCTCCAAAAAGTTTGAGAAATTTTGCGAAGTAGTATCTGACATTTTTTCAACCATGCAATGTATTTCAATCAATTCTTGGGTATGAGAGCAGCTCAAAACTACCACTAAGAGGTCTCCATTCTCTAAGTTGTCCCGAGAAGCCCTAATTAAAATGCGTTCGGCAGAGTGCCTTTCTGTGACGCCTGCTTGACTCCTCTTAAAGTCGTACCCTCTGTTATCTCTCTTCCCCTCAGAAATTTTTTTTTTTGGGTCCCACTCATAAGTAGAACTTAATATTTTTTGTCATGGACATTATTCTTTCACTCTCATAACAGCATGCAGCTCATAGTTTTGTTTGATGAATTTTAGGTCTCCTTGCCTTAGTTTGGTCCGTGATATGGCTGTGGGTTGTGAGGGACCGCCCAGAAGATGATCCTCATATATCAAGCAAGGAGTTGAGATACATAAAAGATTCTCTCTGTGGTTTCTCGACGGATAAGGAGGTAACAAAACATTTTAGAAATTTACTTCATCCCGCAATGTTTAGATTTTGAATGTTTGAATGATTTTATCGGAACATTGGGGGAAAATAAATCATTTTTAGTTTGCTAATGTATGACTTAATCAATCTGTCAAGGAAATTTGGTCGCAGCATTTACTCCGATAATAAAATGACATTGCATCCACGCTACTTGGCAGCGTTCAATCGAGTGTCAAAGCAACGTAACGCTGGGAGCTTAAAGAGAATTTAAAGGGAAAAACAGAAATTTTTGAAACTGATCAGCTACTGCCATATCTGATGATTTGTACAACATTTATCTTGTCCTTCCCTATGATTCCTCTTCATTTTCTTTATTTTACTATAATTATTTTATGGCTAATCTTTTCCTCTTCCTGGTGGTTTCCTTTGAACAACATTAGATATATACCGTACCCATAACCCCTACACAAATCTTAAAAGCACCTGAAGATGTGGCAAACCAACCCAGAGATCATCAGAAAAAAATGAAAAGAGGTTATTGGGGAAGACAAGGTAAATTTAACCCCTCAGTGAAAAGTACCCCGATCAAATAAATATATTGAAGGCCAATTCATTTCTCCAGTTTTTGCATATTGGTATAAATGAACGATCTTAAACTTCATAAAACTAAAGAAATCTTCTTAGAGAATGAAAGATTGCCATTTACTCGTCGTTTAGTGTCACTTGTGTTATTTTACCACCTTGTTACGTACAGTTCGGGCCACGTTTCCTAGTGTTTTTTTCTCGCTTGCCATTGAGACCTATGACTATTTCTTCTTCTAATGTGTGCTTTACATCCTATACCATGTGATTTTACCATGTATATCATATTTTGGCAATAGATACCAGTGCCGTGGAAAAGTATATCTACATCCATGCCAGTTTGGTCCATTGCAGTCGCTCAGTTTTGTGCAGATTGGGGTAATTTTACGTTGCTGACACAACTTCCATCCTTCATGCGAGGTATGTCTCAAAATCATTGAGCCTTTCGTTTGGTGTTGTATTCTTGTTATAATTATTTTAAATAATTATCAGGATTCGTTTTCTTCGGTATCAAATATATGTTCCACCAGCATCAGACCATACTGCGAGAGAAACAGTGGTCTTCTTTTGCATAACTTGCCTTTATAAATGATTCGATGATTTCAACGAGTGAAATATTGAAGATAAGCGCGGAACCCTATGAATTAGTAAAACTATGAATTAAATCGAGACGGGTGCGCCTTCGTTTTAATGTCATGCAATTTGAGTTACTCGGGATTCTGCGACGTGCGACTCAAAAGTTCCCGCACCCACCCGCCATGACTAGAGAGCGAGCCCACTAATCTAGTCAGTTTTTAGTGCACTTTAGAAAGTTTAAAAGCTTATTAAGAATTATATTTTGAGGATTGTAGCATTTTCAAAAATCTTTGAGATAAATTAATTGGTCAGAAGCCTGATTCATTTATGCGACTTTCCAGAAAAAAAAATGATGAAATTGTGTCACGCTTCTGGTGAGTATCTAATTACTTGAGACATTTTTAAAATTTCTGAGTTTCCATTAACAAGCATCCGTGATATTTCTTTCAGACACGTTGAGTTTCAACCTAGCTGAAACAGGGTTCATATCAGCGTTACCATATGTGGCAATGGCTCTCATGACACAAATATCTGGTTTCCTCAATGATTGGGTGCGGGCCACACACCTATCTACAACGCAGGTAATTTTTTGGTTAAAACAAAGTTCAGCTTCACTAGTGGATAAAATGAAAATAAATATGCAACGTAAAGATTTTGAATAGTGTCTACGGCATACAGGCAGGTTTTTACAAATTTTTGTTTCTTGTTGAAATAAATAAATTAATTATGTTAATGTTGTACTGAGATACGGAGATACGCATTTTTCCACTTTACATATCTGTGTAAACGATACATACATGAAGTTTGATATTGAAGATTGTTTGCACATTGAGATATGGTTAGTCAGTTAGTTTTTAAGACATTCAGCGTCTCAGGCTATGTGTATGTACATGTGTATCGTATTATATGTGTATCGTGTTATGTATATAACTAACTATGTATAAACTAAAAATTCACAGTGTCCTACCCACATCCAGACATAAGTTCATTATATACTTGTGATATTTTTCTTTGTAGACGAGGAAGTTGTTCAACTGCTCAGCTTTTACCTGTCAAGCAATCTGCATGTTTGCCATATCGTACACGAACACTCCCACAGGAATTATCTTCTGCCTGATCATGTCTTGCGGTCTTGGAGCCTTCGCGTGTTCTGCATTCGGGTAGGTACTCCGAAAATTCATCAATTCGGAAATGCGTGTACAAATGACTTTTACAAGAGACTTTCATTGGAACACATAAAACACCTTTGAAAAAACGAAGTTCGAGTGCCTATTATTGTTTTTATTGATTTATTTATTTTATTTTATTTTTTCACATACTGTTTCACATTGTTTTTCTTCCAAAAGTAGCGAGTTTTACATTTTCGACCGAATGTAACATTTATGTAGGTAACCTTTTGTTAAGAGTTACATTGGCAACATTCGAATGTAGAGTAAACTTAGCAACATTTGAACGTTTAAAAAAACCATTCGTTACCTATGTCTTCAAATTCTTAATCTTATTGAATTTCACAGGGCTAAGTTAGAACCTTCGTCTGAGAAGGACATGTGACAGTTTCTAGCTCCCTCAATCAGTGTGATGATCTCAATACATTTTGACTATAGTGCCTAGTGATATAGTGTCATCTTTCGATGCTGTGAACATTATATAGTGCGGCCCAAAATGATTGTAATAAACTTACAAAGGCTCATGTGTGAACAATTACATGAGGCGTAAGATTTCTTGAGATGCAGGAATTTCGAGCCACGAGAAATTAAAGGCTGCCATAGAAAAAGGCATTAATATGCACAAAATTGTATAACTTACTTCGCGCGGTAGCTAATGAAAAAGGAGACATTAACCGTTCAAGAGGTACAAGCTTGCTTGAAGAAACTCGATCGAAGGACCCATAGGCTAAGAACTCTCGCGCTCTAAGAGTAAAATCTGAACCAAAATGTCCGTTTTTTTTCTTAATTTCAACATAAGACTTAATTTTTAAGAATGTTCTCCTTTTGAAGTATTCGATTGTTTTTAAACATTTTTCCTAACTGATCTCGGTGTCTTGACTTCACAGTGTCAATGCCCTGGACATCGCCCCGCAGTACGCTAGTTTATTAATGGGTTTCACCAACACATTCAGCTGCCTACCAGGAATGATCAGTCCCATTCTAGCAGGATACTTAGTTCAGCACAAGGTATGTTCAAGGCTCACCATTTTGCGGGAGAGTTAAGCTATACTTTGTAACTTATATATAAAGTTTACAGGAGGGTTACTCGTTCCTGGAAAGCTCTTAAAATTGTAAGTGATTACCGTGTCTATGCGAATGTATGGGATATTTTTCTCTTAAAGTTTCCCAGCGAAGTATGGCTTTCAGCCAAACATTTCCAGGGAATTTGCTTCTTAGATCAAATTTTCTGGTCGGAATTTTTTTTTTTTTTTTTTTTTTTTTTTTTTTTTTTTTTTTTTTTGAGACACCCGGTCTTCGATGATTCCGACGGAATTCTTGTTACGGCATCTATAAGTCATCATATCAGGACAAGGAGAACTCTATAGCTATTCCTAAAAGAAATACAATCAGGAAATTACTAACAGGATTTTTATACCCGCCTCACTTTGTCTCCGATCATCAGCCGATAAGGAGTCTCATACATATAAATTGGATTACATTTTGCAATAAGAAACCAATGTCTCTGACTCCTCCATAAAAGCGCCTTTCTGCATACGGAAACCAATGGCATATGTGTTATTTTCAAAATAAGCCAGAAATAGTGGTTCCGGTTTGCAAAATGTGGTCCGATCATTCTTTTTATACTTTCCAAAAAGAAAACGAGACATCTTATGGTTTCAAATTTCTGTAGATTTTTTTCAGAAGAAGAAAATCAGAGATTTCTGCGAAATATGACACTCCTTAAATTCCACTAAATAAACTGCAACGTCAGGTATTGGAATCTATAAATTTCCTCACCATTCAAACGAATTATTCCTACACGGAAATTGTACTTTATTTTGTAAAGAAGGATCGTAATTTTTCCTCTCTTTGTTTTTGGTTATTGAAACAGGAGGCGGCTGAGTGGAAATCAGTATTCCTGATCACCAGCGGTGTGTACGTTTTCGGGGCTGTTTTTTACGGAATATTTGCAGACGGGAATATTCAGTCATGGGCCAGGGACGATTCGAAGCCAGAAAAAAGTATACCTCAACCGAAGGACACAGAGAAACAGCAACCTGATCTGGGTGACGTCACTAAGTGCACCGTCAACCTGCCTTCGTCATTCGAGAACTCTGCCTGTACCGTTCAGGAGTGAGAAACAAAACATGGATTGAAGGGCCATGTGCATGAAATTGTTAGTGCTACTCATTATTTAGAGAAAGAAAGGTTTTGAGTCGACAATATTACAGGGAGTTTTATGGCCTGTAAAAGACTGGAAACTGGCGAATCAAGATACAAATTGAGTTTCGCCACTTTTTTAATAGATAATCCCGGTTATAATGATATCGAAAATAATCCAAAATCAATATTTTGATTTATTTTTCCAAAAATATCATTCAACGTGTTCATGCATCGGGCTTTTCAACTACCCACCAGTGTTAAAATGTATCACTAGATCTGCAAAACTGTGCTTTATATTCTGCTTGAAAATTTGTTTGAACCAGCAGAGTGAAGTTCAGTTGAATATTGGGTCTAGGATGAAAAACGCTCTCTAAATGTTCGTAAGAACGAGGTTTGTTTACTTCGGATTCATACATGCAACGGAGGATAATATCAGGTGAGCTTCTCTGAGAATAATCAAAGCCCCGAAAAAGAAAAAAAAAACCAAGTTTACTCCTTGAGAATTACGCTGTTTTGAATCCAATGCTTTACAATTGGCATCTTCACTGATGAATAAGATTTTGTTATCGAATGTCAATGATGATTCAAAATTATCACAACTTTCTCTTCTATGAAAAGAAACTGTCAAATCGATTTTCGATGCTTCTAAGATAAACTTCCTATCCTCTGGATCCTTCTTAAATATGGCAGGCGCCTTGTTAGTTGCAACGAAGAGGATAGTGATTCGTGTATTCGTAGGAATTACAAGATTGTAAGTAACTTTTGAGTACAGAGATATTTAGTAATTCGTGTCAGAATTGCCTTGAAATAAGAACTTCTCTCCTTTTTTATCTCCATGTCATCTTAATATGATCGCCATCTACGGATGGTGTTCTGTTGGTATTGTGATGTACCTGTTTTTAATTCATTTTGTAATTATAGAAAAACAAGTGACTTGGTTTGCAACGTCGCGAAATTAATGGGACAGTGCATTTTTTAGAAGTTAAAACTTAACAAAATTTGATAAATAATCAACTCTTGATTCGAGTGTTCACCAACTTGCAATGCGTATATTTAATCCAAAAATATGTCGCGAAAATGTCGGTTATAATGGTTGGCATAGGATAACCAACCATGTTGAATTATTTATCGTCCTTTGAATTCCACACGATTTTTTTTTTTCATTTTTTTATGATATGTATTGATTTTCTACGTCCGATGTAAGTGATCCAATTGAATTAATTTTAAAAGAGAGAAACCAAGTCATGAAAGAGATAAATATACATATATATTAAGGTTCCTTGTTCTACAACAATAAAGATAAAAAGTGATCTTTGAGTCCATATCATGAATTTTAAAAATCATTCGTTGGATTTGAGATCTTAACAAGGAACTTTAATGTACTCGTTGAGCTTCAAATCTCTGATGATGTACTTTCCTTAAAAATGTGATGCGGTTTTTCTTCGTTAAATTTAATCCAATTTTCTCATCTAAAATTCCCAATTTTTTACTCTTAAGATGCTTACTCAATATGTAAATACACAATCATTATTTGTAATTTTTAATTTGCTCTGCATTTCATTCTTAGTTTCGGAATGGACCATTTTCATCTCAGTGTTCTCTCACTTTGTGAACAATTTCTACTCAATACTTATAACATGAAGACCAAGAGGTCAGAAAAAAAGAAGAATGAGAGAAAAAAAAAATAATCCTACCGAAAAAATTATCAGAATCAATTAAGTTCTATCAATTCCGGAGGTAAATACTTAAATCTATGTAGCTAGCCTAAGTAACCTACTCGAATAAGCTCTGGGATAATTTTTCAGCCTGTGTAATGACGCGAAAGCATGGTAAGTTGCATCATTCAATTTTGAAGGGGACTTGGAAATCGTTTCACTCATCGTCTCACAAGTCACGATCAACACAAAACGGACAGAGTGTATAGAGACGTTTTCTCTTGAACAGTGGTAGTGGTAGTAAAAACATTCAAAAGAGCGTGGTCAAAGTATAATCAGCTCTTCTTCCCTTATTTCAACGACTAAATTGATTTCGTCTATCTCTTAATTTCAACATTCTTTCAAATATTTATATGGACTTTCAATATATTTGTATTACAAACTGAACTGTCATCGATGACCCGAAATTACACCAATGGCCAATCCAGTGGGCTCCCTATAATTCCATGGGGGTTACCTATAAAAGTATGTAAATGAAGAGAGGAAAATTATTCGGGTTTTGTGTAATGTTTTATCATTTGAAATGACAATAATTCCAAAATTTACAAAATCTCCAAAATCATAAGTTGAAAACCGCTAATGCCGCAAGTTTGAATAATCGCATCAAACACAGTGCGGCCGGCGTGGAAAGCATAGTAGCGCCGTACAAGACCGCAGGATACTTCATGAATTGCGCGTACAGCACGGTGCGCGCGGCGCATCGTATAGCGCCTTACAAGTCTGCAAGATACTTCATGCATTGCGCCTATACCACGGTGCACACTCAATTCACTATATTACGCTGCTCTGACTCTGAGAAAGTGCGACTAACAGTCCTTTGAATCAGTGCGATTGGTTGGAAGGAGACCGAACGTTCATGGCTATTTGCCTGCACTCAACATAGCGATAAAAAATGGTCCGTTTTTCCCCTCTTTTTTCTTAATACCCCTTTAAATCAACTTTTTGGCTCAAACCTCAGTAAATTGTAACTCCATCTAGAAACTTTGAAAAATTTAGTCGGCAAAACGGACAGGACAGTATATTTTTACTTACACTCTTGACCACTTCCTTCTTGTATTTTATAATGCTCATTCGATTTATGTGACCGTCTACGGAAAAAAACTTTAAACTCTAATAACCGATACGAGAGCAGTAAGGCAAAGATGGTTTTTCTATATTCTCATTTTTTATTTTTTTACGTATGGTCTACGAACTAGGTATTTTTATTTTATTCGACAGTAAAATGATCCACCCAATTTTACCAGTAACTGCTCTCCGAATTATTCAGCGGCAAATCGCGCACGGCCGGTGACGAGTGAAATTTAAGGGAGAGGGGCACTAAAACCATCCCTTATTTTTTCAGTGAACACATATTTAACATATTTGACTGATTTTGAATTTAACTTTTTTCGTCTTCTTTTTTATATTGGGTTCGGGCTCTAACATTTGTTGTATTTTGTCGACTTTCAGATGAACGTTTGTTTTACTTTTTTTTTAAAAAAAATTCCATTCTTTAGTGAGACCTTTCCATCCTTTCAAACCGTTTTGAACTTAACTTTTTCTCTCTATTTGCCGCGTTTGAACTCTGACTTCTTTTACTAAACACTGGTCACACTGTTTACACTGGTCTTTTACTAACTTCTGGGCGTAGAATTATTTTTTTTTTTTTTACATTTTCCTTTTCATTTTATTCCATCCTTTTCTCTTAAAAAAGACATTAGCTATTTTGAAAATTTCCAACAAAAATATACCTTTCAACTTTTCAATAATAAAAATCATAGATTTTTGGATCTAGCCAAGGTGTTTGATCTGGATCACCGATGAGGTACTCCTTATTGGCACATAAAATTGTTTATTATACTCACCAAAATAAAATAAAACAAATAAAATATAAATAAAACAAACAATTTATGTGCTAATAAGGAGTATCCAAATCCAACACCTTGGCTAAATCCAAAAATCTGGATAATCAACACGGTACAGTGGACTCTCGATAGTTCGAAATTGAAGGGAATCGGCTTTTTCTTCGAATTAGCGAGGTTTCGAAATAAAGAGAGTTCGAATTAAAGAGATTCCATGTAGAAAAATTTCGAATTAGAGAGGTTCGAATTATAGAGGGAAGGCGCCATCTGAATTCGAATTACAGAGGGGCAAATGGACGGATTTACGTTAAAAGGTCTTTAGGTCAAAGGTCAAGCTCTTTCAGACACCCAGGAACGTAAACAGTTGACTTCGAATTTTAGAGGGAATGTACCGTCTTATTTCGAATTATAGAGGGAGGGCCATACTTACTTCCCACATTTCGAATTACAGGGAGAATTTTCGTCGCAATTTCGAATTATAGAGGGCCACGCCAGCTTAAAAATTTCGAATTAACGAGGGGAGAAAAATACATTGATTTTCTTCGAATTATCGAGAGATTTTCAAGGGAAACAGACTTTCCTTCGAATTAACGAGGTTTTCGAATTATCGAGGTTCGAATTATCGAGAGTCCACTGTACTCCTTATTGGCACATACAATTATTTATTTTATTAATCAAAATAAAATAAAACAAAATAAATTTAAATAAAATAAACAATTTATGTGCTAGTATGGAGGATGCAAATCCAACACCTTGGCTACATCCAAAAATATATGATTAATAATGGTGTTGCTAAAAAATCTACTAAATTAAATTTCATCAAAATCGTCCGAAAATATCGCAGAATCAAAATACGATATTCACACGTTCACGCGTCACGCTTAACCGTAAAAAAACACGTGGATACATCGAATTATGGATGGAATTGGCAACACGGCGCGACGGCTTGGAGAGGGAACGCCGCGCCGCGCCGCCCGGCGAGGTAGAAGCCGGCCGACTCGGCGCTTAGTCGTGGTTCAGTGGACCGTCGTCGTCCGGTCGTCCCAACTTTCGGCCCGTGCGCGGAACGTGGAACTTGGAACTTGTGCCGTGATTGTGATCCGTTCCCGCGCCTCTCCCGTGGGACCCCCCGTTCCGAACCCCCGGATTATCCCACCCCGCCCACCATGGAGTGCAACACCAAGACTGACCTACCCAAACCCCCGCTCCTCGGGTAAGTCCCGCTCCGAATTTTTTAACATTGTCTGAGTACTTAGAAGGAAATTCACGGTGAAAGTCGAAAAAATACGTACTCCCAATTCGCGAATCTCCACTCGTATCTGAGTTTTTAAAATAAAACAACCTAAGTAAAATTGGGCCGAGTTTATCAGAAAGGGACCCACCCACATTTTCGAAAAAAATTGAGTTATGAATGTTTTTCAGTTTTACCGGTCGTGCATTTTCTCCTGGCAAAAACTGAAAGTCTAAAAACGAAAACAAAATTTGAAAAGAGGGGTTGGAGTTTATTTTTTACACTGAGCTTTTTGCAGGAATAAAACTTCAAACCTCTTTTTCTCAGTTTCAACTTAATGTGGGTTGGTTCCCTCGTGACGAACTTTGTCCAATTTTTCTTAAATTTATTTGTAAATTTTGTTCGAGCGTTTGAAATATCACAGAAAGTTTTAAGAAGGATTTCGTTAGTTCAAAGAAAATAAAAAAAATAAATAGCTATACGGAGCTTTTAGAATGTCGCATTGCAGATTCGCATTTCCTTACACAGGGTAAGTCCCGATCCGGATTTTTTGAGGAAAGTTTGGATTGTCACAGTGCTTGGAAGAAGATTGATGTTGAAAGTCCAAAGAATGCGTGCCTCCAATTGCGAAGTTGCAAATCTGCACTCATGTTTGGTTTTTTAAAAAGAAAACCAACGCATATAGTTATTTTTAATTTTTTTTCTGTAAACTATGTTCAATCATTCAAAAATATCACAAAAAGTCTCAAAAATGGTCTCGTTAGTTTTAAAAGAAAATAAAAAAATAATAAATTATAAACTTAGATTTTAGAAAGTCGCAATGGAGTTACACATGTTTTTTTTTTTACATTTTTTAACATCAATATCTGTGATTGCATGGATCTATGAAAAGGAACCTTACCTTCCATGAGAACATTTTCATGAACATTTTGCAAATGCATACAGGAAGAAATGTTGGAAATTTTGGCACAAGCGTGACCGTAAAGTCACATCAAATTGAAGAAAATACTCGCCTTATGTTCAAAGACTAAGAGAGCTATTTGGATTGCACTTTGTAAAAAAGAACCAAGCTCATTCCAATGTCGCTAAGATTGTGCAAATGAGTTTACCTCGCAACTACAAACACCTAAATAGGTCTTATCAATGATCCAAATAAACTACAAATTCAGGACGAAAATTTCCTCGGTCACTTTGATTTTTGTCCAAAATTCCAGTAATTTCAATGCAAAGAACGTGTGTTGCGCAATCTTAGCAATATTGGAATGCCCTTGGTTCCTTTCTGCAAAATACAATCCATTTCTGCTTGATGAAATAGAAAAAATGGAATTCGAGTTTTCAAGAGTAAACAATCACTGATAAGTCGAGGGTGATCCGTTGCATTTTTGTGATAATAGAAGAGGTACTCTCAAGTCGTATCCTGGGTTGACGACTTTGAACCTCGAAGCGTGAAATTAAAAGACTGCGTGGCTTTTTATGGCTACTAATTTTCTTTATCTGCAAACTTCAAATCGTCATCAAGACCGTTTAAGATTCACATTTTCAGGTGTCGCTATTTCTTTGAAGCGAAAATATTTGTCAAAGATCGCGAGGAACGCGCGTTGGGAATAGTCCAATTTTGAAATTTTCGGCGCCTCTTTGGAGGAATGAAATCTATCTGGAACATTATAGTTTTTGATCAAAAAAACCATGAAATATAACAGGGAGTCTGCAACGTCGGAAACGGACATAAATGGTTCCGCACTTGGGCCATGGATATATCCGTTGCTAGGTTAACAGTGTCACAAGGTGGAAAGAGCGGTGGCCAAAATACTGAAAAGCGTGCAGTATGTTACACTTAAATGCCGTCTGAAGAAAAATATCTCAAAAGCAATAAAATTTACTTTGCCATTATCTAATAAACACTCGTTATGACCCGTCAGCAAGGTGCTAGTGTCCCAGGCATTCATAAAGCGATAACCTCGAAAGCTATGGCCAATGGTTTGCGTTAATTTTCCTACGCAAGGCGCGTTTAGCGTGAACTTCTTTTTTGGCGGAAGACAGGTGTTTTAGTCCTCCCCCTCCCCTCCTGGACCCCCCTCCCCTGACCCCCTCAGACTGGTTACGCTGTCAAAGCTCGGCCGAAGCGGGTTCAACGAACAACGCCCAGTTTATAGAATCCGAGAGTGAAAGTAAACGGCTGGGAGGTGTCTCATTCGCGGGTGTTGAGATCGATTATCGATAATTCCCCATTTAGAACTATGTCTAAGAATCGATTATTAGGGCGTCCATCCTTTTTATCGATTCTTTTTCATTAATTTGAGCAGCAGATCAATGGATGTATCGCACAGCACGCCACGATCCCGAGTCGCGGGTGTTATCCAATCCACATTTGAGCCGTGCTCTACTGCAATCTCGTATGCCAATCGGTCAAATCGTAATATCCCTCTCGAAAAAACCTAACTACAATCCAATGTAGACGAATTTCCGCCTCATATATAACACCATTACGAGAAGCATTTGGACGTATTTCTGTCTAACGGAAAGTATGTGCAGTATGGCATGAGCCCTGTTATACATATATTATTATGGGTCTCAGGGCTCATGTCTTAATTGAAATAGTTCCGTTTGACAGAAAAACGTCCATTTCAAGAATTTCTAACTGAAAATACCACTGACTTTACCTCAGATCTCTGGCGAAAATCGGACGAATTTTCGACAAAAATTGCACAAGTACTGTCTCGTGGAATATTTAATTTTTATAAGTCAATTTTGCAACCTTGGAATTGAGTTACGATCTTACGTTCGGGGAGCGACGTATTGCCGATGGTTCTCTACGGAGAGGAAATGAACTCGGTTTGGTCCGTATTTGAACCGTGTAAGATATCGAATTTCAAAGGATTGCATTTCGATTTTTGACTGGAATGGATAGGAGTCGAGTCGCAAGTGTTATGCAGCCCACGATTGGTGCATACCGTCAAATTTATCACACCTCTGTCTATGGATTGAGTTTCGTGATGGTTGTATATAGTCTATTGCCGGGATCGTGTCATAAGCAGGCGTCGATTGAGCATTATGGTCCCGGTGAATTCTAAATCTTTCAGTGACAGCGCGTTAAACGACTTCGACAATTTGAAGATTTTGTCTAAGTCAAAATATAGCAGAAGCACACCTCACTTAAATCATAATGTATTCGTTTACAAAAAAAGAGACAAAATTCAAGACATTACAGGTCAATCAAAATATCCGATTGCTTTTGACCGACGAACACGTCGATGTATCGAAGGCCGTTGACCTATAAAGGCACTGAATTACTATTGAGAGCCATTACTAATTGGACTACGTTGTAGAATAAGGAACTATTATTTCTGACTCACCTGTGAAAGCATACCTTCCTACAAAGCAAGGATACTAATAGTGCATACACGGTTTCCAAAATAACCGGACATATACAGTATTACCTTACTGCAAAATGAAGTTCAAATCAACATTGCAGATACGGCAGGTTTAAGTAAAATTCTGTTGTACTCGTTGAGGATGTACTCGCCTGGTCTCATATTATGAATTCACGGTTATAATGACATGAAATCTATGTCGTTCCTTTTTTACAGTTCCATTTCCTCGGTTAAAACAAAATATTTATACATCCCAATCATCCAATAGATTCCCCAAGACACAATAAAATTATTTTTGAAAATAAATACGCATTCATTTGAATTTTAAATACTTAAAAACAAATAAGACTCATGATACTAAAACCAAGAGTCAATCAACCTCAAAACGGTTACATACATTTTTTGTAATCATGAGACGTGGATAAGATATAAATATCAACAAAGCAAAAAAAGAACAATTTCTTGTATAAAAAAATTGAACTATTTCATATTTCTCGGTAGGTATCGATAGCTGTGTGTTAAGAACCGGAGAAATATTTAGAGAGGGATATTGTATCCCGCGGCTGACCTATAAAAAAATAATCGTCCCTCGTAACTCGAGACGCTGAAAAAATAGGATATCTTGATTTGTAGAGAGGTCATCTAGGTATGTCGCTCTGAATTTTTTATCCGTTTCCTCGCGTACTTTAAGACGATAACCAGATGCTCCACACATTTTATTACGTAAAAGTGTCTCTTCCATTCAGGTTCAGGTAACATCATAAAAATTCAGCGCTTTGCTTGAATTTTGTGGTAAAATCGATGCTCAACTTTAAGCGATTTTTTTCTCGTAGATATTTTTGCTCCGGAATAGTTGCTTATATGCATGCATTTCTGACGAATGCTTCCGCAGCATTCATGGGCTGCAGAATACGCAGCGTAGTTGCACGATGATGGAGCAATGGAGTATATTTGGACCGCTTTCAGCAGAAAGGAACCAAGCAACATCACCTATTGCCAATTTAACTAGGGAATCTAATTTTGTACATGAAAACGTTGTGTGGATTTTTGTGCAGATTTCAAAGAATTTTCTGCTGCATAGTATGCAGTAAATTCCTTAAAATTTTCAAAGTTTCCGCACAAAAGGTTTACTTGTAAAAAATTAAATTATTCAGTTAAATCTGGCAAAAGCTGATGTGATATACTTGGTTCCTTTCTGCTGAACATTAGCCCACTTATGATGGTATAGACAATTGTTTCTTTCAGACCCCTAGGATCGGATTTTATCTTTGTTGTCTTGTGTTGGAAAAACAAAGAGAGCACGAATTAAGTGGTTTAATAACAAAAAATTGTAGTGCGCATAAACTGACAAGACTTACTGAAGACAACTTATCTTTGTAAAAAATTATTCTATGCCCTTAGTAAAAGTGAGTGAGCCTGACGTCAGGCCATGTTTCATTACTCTTAGTCTGACTGATTCAGGTTGTCATCAGGCTGACATCAGCCTGAGTCAGTCTGACATCAGCCTGAATCAGTCTGACATCAGCCTGAATCAGTCTGACATCAGCCTGAATCAGTCTGACTCTGGGTAGTTCATGAAACATATCCTGACGTCAGGTTGATTCACTTTTG